AATCTATCTATCTATCTATCTATCTATCTATCCATCTATCTATCTATCATCTATCGGTATCTATTGGTGTCTGTCTATCTGTCTGTCTGTCTATCTATCTATCTATCTATCTATCTATCATCTATCTATTTGTATCTATCAGTATCTATCGACTATTCATCTATCTGTCTGTCTGTCTGTCTGTCTGTCTGTATCTACCTGTATCTATTGATTATCTATCTATCTTTCTATCTATCTGTATCTATCATCTATCTCTCTATCTATCTCTCTATCCATCTATCTATCTATCTATCATCTATCTATCTATCTATCTATCTATCTATCTATCTATCTATCTATCTATCTATCTATCTATTGATATCTATCTATTTATCTATCTATCTATGTGTCAGTTATCTATCCATCCATCCATCTATCTATTTATCTATCATCTCCTCTTGCCAGATGGCTTGCCTTGATGTTTTCTGCTTCTTTTCTGCTCTTCTTCACTCCTTCTTCTCTTTTATTCATCTTCCCTTCAGAGGCTTCAGGATCGGATCCTTCTCTGAGAGGACTGGGCTATCGTCTTCACAGCGCTCCCAACCTCTCCGATTTCCATTCCTGCCGGCAAAAGGTCACCAAGCAGTACTCGGATCCACTGGTCCCCCACTTCAGCCCCGTCCCAGCTGCTCAGGCCACGCGCCTACCGAGCCTTCAGTCTGGTCGGCCCCTCAGGTCTTCTCCAAAACTCTCCGAATTCATGCAGAGGACTCCCTTGCCCACCATTTTGGGGTCTCCAACAAAGGTAGCCTATCCATGTCCTCGGGACCCCTTCGGGTGGGATTGGAAAGTTCTAAATGGGGAGGTTGTGTCGATCTAAATTGCTCCCCAACCACAACCATATGAGAGAGGGGGACTGGCCAGAAGTCAGCCAGCCAACTTCCCTGCCTAAAGTGGAACTAGAACTCCTAGTCTCCCGGTGATTCTTCCAAAGTCACCCAGCCCCCACTTCCTTGTCTTAAGGAAGGACTAGAACTCACGGTCTCCTGATGATTAGCCCAGGTAGTTCAGCCAGCTCTCATGCCTAAGGCAGAACTAGAACTCCCAATCCCCTGGTGATTGCCCCAAAGTCACCCAGCCAACTTCCTTAAGGAAGGACTAGAACTCCTGGGCTCCTGGTTTCTGCACCAGCATCTTAATCACTTCACCAAACCAGGTTTCTGGGAGAAAAGAACGAGAGGGTCACATCAATGGAGCAATTCTTTCAGCGCTTAGCAAATCCTCCTTGTTGTAGGGGTCTCTCACAAAGAAGTCCAAAAACGTTCTGTGTGACCAGCAGCCTATAAATCCACAGATTTTGTTTTGTATTTCTGTTGATTTCCATCCATTTTATCGTGCCTCTCCTTCCTTTTAATGTTTTTGATTTTGCTTTTGTTTTAAATATAGGCCAGGTCCCCCTTCGAGTTCAGTAAAAACCCCAGCTCCCAAAATCTGTTCGCTCTCTTGGCCCATCAAGCCGTTGTCATCACCCCAACGAGGAACAAGACACTGCCGGATTTGAAAGAAACGGTACACTTGCCTTACCAGCAAGGAGGTCTCAGTTTGAGGCCAATGGAAGATGCCAAAGGCAGGTAAGAACCCTCACAACCACAAATAAAAGTCAAAGTTGGCTTGCAGATAGACTAACCTAGTCACATGTGGGGTCCCTGGAGGTTTCTGAGCTTGGTTGTTTCCTTGCAGACGTTTCATTATCCAACTAGGTAACAACATCAGTGTGTCATGCCCCTGGTGGAGACTGACTCTGAGGGAGAGGAGGAATAGCCCACAGGGGGTGGAGGTGTGGAAATTTGGCTCCAGAGGTTGTGGAGGAGGCTGGGGAAGGGCAGAGGTTGACTGAGCAGTCAGAGGAGGACCCAGGCCCATCCCCTCCCCATCCTAGGGCACGCAGGGAGGAGAGGATAAGGGAGAGACGTGGTCTACTCAGGAGGCTTTGATCCTCTTCATGGGCTGCAGCTGTGACAACTGAATAAGAGTTTGGACCTGCATACTGGCAAACGCTGGAAACAAAGCGTGTTTTATTTTGGTCTGAAGTTATCTTGGTTGGCGTCCTTCCAACAGACTGTGCCTTGTTATCGCCTTGAATTTGATAAATACTTCTGTTCCATTGTGGAAATTTCATCATTGTAGTTTGTTTGGTTTGTTATTTCACCTCTATCTGCTCATTAAGTTCGGATGGTATTGCTTTCTTTTGAAGACTATTTTTGAGTACGTTTTTTTTTAATCTCCAACTGAGTATTATTGAACAGTGGGGCCAAGTTGGAGGCATTAAAGGACATTTACTTACGTTTTGGATTTTGTTACATTTGTGTTACACTCTGGGTCATCACACAGTGCTAGAAGAGAGTAAGGGTTTGTGGAATGGAGGAAAGGGAGAGAGGAGGAAGCCTGTGGGGTCCTTGCTCTCTGAGCTTGGTTGTTTCCTTGCAGACCTTTCATTACCCAACTAGGTAACATCATCAGTGCTAGAAGGGAGTGGGGTTTACACGTTTTGCCTTTCAAGGAGGGGGTGAAGTGGAGAAGATATTCATTTTTGATGGGTTTCCCCAGTGTGATGCATCCTCCATCCAACAGCCAGAAATGTTACCGCCAAAACTGAGCAGGGTCTCCAAAAATTCATGAAGACCTCACCCTAATCCTAAGTGGGTTTGTCCCCCAATGGGGTTTTCCCTCTTATTTTACCAGGAAACGTAGACAGGGCCTTCTTGACAAGGGCATTTTCTCATTCTTAGGTCACTCAGCACTGGCCGCCTCACCGACCTTCTTCTTAAAGCGGCTTTTGGGGAAGCTGGCAGTAATGATAGCCTCAACAGTGAGAAGCCCATGGAGATAACAGGTGCTGGAAACTGGAAAATTTGGGGGTGTCTTCATGGTGTGGGGGGGGAGGAATCTTTTGTCCTTAACTGATCTGCCTCCTTTTTTAGTCTACAAAACTTTTCTCTTGCTTCCATGAAACTTAAATTGAGATAGAATAGAATGGAATGGAATGGAATGGAATGGAATAGGATAGGATAGGATAGGATAGGATAGGATAGGATAGGATACAATAGAATAAGGAATAGAGTAGAGTAGGATAGGATAGGATAGAATAGAATAGAATAGAATAGAATAGAATAGAATAAGGAATAGAGTAGAGTAGAGTAGAGTAGGATAGGATAGGATAGGATAGGATAGGATAGAATAGAATAGAGTAGAATAGAATAAGGAATAGAGTAGAGTAGAGTAGAGTAGAGTAGAGTAGGATAGAATAGAATAGAATAGAATAAGGAATGGAATAGAATAGAATGGAATAGAATAGAATAGAATAGAATAGAATAGAATAGAATAGAATAGAATGAGGAATAGAGTAGAGTAGGATAGGATAGGATAGGATAGGATAGGATAGAATAGAATAGAATAGAATAGAATAGAATAGAATAGAATAGAATAGAATAGAATGAAGGACTAGGGGTAACATGACAGCAGTCTTCCAATATCTCAGGGGCTGCCCCAAAGAAGAGGGAGTCAAGCTATTCTCCAAAGCACCAGAAGGCAGGACAAGAAGCAATGGGTGGAAACTAATCAAGGATGGAAGCAACCTGGAACCAAGGAGAAACTTCCTAACAGTGAGGACAATTAGCCAGTGGAACGACTTCCCTCCAGAAATTGTAAATGCTCCAACACTGGAAGTTTTTAAGAAGAGATTGGACAACCATTTGTCTGAAGTGGTGTAGGGTTTCCTGCCAAAGCAGTGGGTTGGACTAGAAGACCTCCAAGGTCCCTTCCAACTCTTGTTATTCCATTCCATTCCATTCTATTCTATTTCATCTAACTAGATATACCTAATTCCAGCAACCATTTTTTATATGTTTTAGCTTTCAGTCCCCTAATCCTCTTTGTTGCTCTTCTCTACACTCTTTCTAGATTCTTAACATCTTTTTTACATCGTGGCGTCCAAAACTGGATGCAGGATTCCAAGTATGGCCTTACCAAGGGCCTCATAAAGTGGCATTATCACTTAAGGTGATTTTGATTCTATATATCTTGATTCTGTTCATACTTTGTCCATAGCTCCTTCCATGGCTTGTGGAGGAACCCTTCACTCGGGGGCCAGAGAAGGTTGTTCAGGGAGCCCTTCGCCAGTGGTCTTCACCGTGGGTTCACCTCCTGCTGGAACGACCCCACCGCAAACCACCCGAACCAGAATGTATTCAGGTATCCAAACCAGGAAAGAGATGGAACCATTGTAGACGGCCTCTTTACGTTGTACAGTGAAGAAATTGTTAGAGAACAATAATAGCTCAGGGTTGAACTGTGGGTCCTCAGTGGTCTCTGAGCTTGGTGGTTTCCATGTTTCATTACCCAACTAGGTACACTGTCAGTGTTAGGAAGGAGTGGGGTTGGAGGAGGAGGAGGAGGAGGAGGAGGAGGAGGAGGAGGAGGAGGAGGAGGAGGAGAAGAACAACAACAACAACTGTGGGGTCCTTAGTGCTCACTGAACATCTGAACTTCGTGGTCACTGGGAGCTGAAGCCCACAAGTCTTAAACTTGCCAAGTTTGAAGACCTTTGTTCTACTGTATAATGCAATTATTAATGCAATATCAGGGGTTTTCAATTCAATGTATAGAATGTGAAGGATGCGTGTTTGTGTTTATTTTCGTAGTCAATGTACACTGAAGATGGTTATCTAATTTCGTTGTACGAGGTGCAATGACAATAAAGTAAAGTAAACTTGGTGATTTTCTTGCAAATGTTTCTTGATCCAACCAAGTAACATCATCAGTGCTAGGAAGGAGGGAGGTTTGAGGGGAGGGAGGAGGAGGCGGTCTGTGGGATCCTTTGGTGCTCTCTGAGCTTGGTGGTTTTCTTGCAAATGTTTTATTACCCAACTAGGTAACACCATCAGCGTTAGGAAGCAGTGGGGGTTGAGGAGGAGAAGGAGGGAGGATTGTAGAGTCCTTGATGCTCTCTGAGCTTGGTTGTTTCCTTGCAGACATTTCATGACCCAGCTAGGTAACATCATCAGTGCTGTGGCATTCCCACAGTCTACTAAAAAAAATACATTTAGATGTGAAGAGGAAGGGCTTTTGTTTTCCTTTGGTTACTCAACTTCCTAAGTTTTGTGTTGTATATTCTGCTTTTTGTTTTTTCTTAGTAGGATCTTCAAGTTCTCTGAGTTCCGGAGGAGGATCTTTCAGCGGGCGCCACTTCATTATGGGAGCCGGTGGGGAAATCGTTGAAGCTTCATCAGGTCTCAGATATACATTGGCTGATCCAATTGCTGCCAACCTGGAAGGAGCAGTTACCTTTGAGGCACCTGAGCTCCCCGAGGAGACCCTCATGGAAGTGAGTTTCATTCCCCCCAACCCAAGTTGAAAACAGTAAAAAAAAAAAAGAGAGTCAACTTTAGGCTCTAATCCACCCTCAACCATAGACCTCGTAGGAGAAGATCCATGTTGGTCTCCTTCTTCGGTCCACAAGACGAAGCATCAGATTCAACTAGATAGATTGAAAACGTCATCCATAGAAGCTTCTCTTCTTCCCAGCCTGGACTACAACCAAATTCTACTCCATCCTCAACCAAAGCACTCAAAGGCCAGACAAGGAATAATAATGGATGGAAACTGATCAAGGAGAGATTCAACCTGGAAATAAGGATAAATTTTTTGACAGAACAATCAAGCGATGGAACAGAAGTTGCCTTCAGAAGTGGTGGGAGCTTCATCACTGGAGGCTTTCAAGGGGAGACTGGATTGCCATCTGTCAGAAATGGTGTATGCTCTCCTGCTTGGGTAGGGGGTTGGACTAGGTGACCTACAAGGTCCCTTCCATCTCTGTTAATCTGAATCTATCTAAGATTATCAAAGGGCTGGAGACTGAAACATACGACGGACAGCTGCAGGAACTGGGCCTGGCTAGTCTAGTGAAGAGAAGGACCAGGGGAGACAGAAGAGCAGTCTTCCAATATTTGAGGGGCTGCCACAGAGAGGAGGAGGGGGTCAAGCTATTTTCCAAGGCACCTGAAGGCCAGAAAAGGAATGAAGGATGGAAACTGAACAAGGAGAGATTCAACCTGAAAATAAGGAGGACTTTTCTGACAGTGAGAACAACCCAATGGAACAGAAGTTGCCTCTGGAAGTGGTGGGAGTTTCATCATTGGAGGCTTCAACATTGGTGTAGGGTCTCCTGCTTGGGGGGGGGAGAAGTTGGACTAGATGACCTACAAGATCCCTTCCAACTCTGTTAATCTGTTAGGTTGCAAGGAATGCAAACTGGAATTATTATTATTTTTGCTTAAAGAAACTGTCTACTTCGAGGTTGTCCACCTCAGCTTATCCCATAGTATGATTGTGAGATAAAATAGGCCATCATGCAATATGCATCAACTTTACCAAACTGATAAAAACTATTTCCTGGCTTGAAAGCACCTGGTTAGACCTTCAGGGTCTCAGCAGACAGACCCTTCTAACGTTTTTGTCTCTCTCTGTGTTTTTCAGCAAGAGCACACAGACATCTTGCGCAGCTTGAGGTTCACGCTGGCTTTTGTCCACTACGTGATGGAGCTTGCCACCATCAAAGGGAGCGCCAATGAGATGTCCAGTTCCGTGGCCTCTGAGTACCAGCTTCAAGAAAGCGTCGTTGCTGACCAGATCAGTTTGCTTAGCAAGGAATGGAGGTAAATAGCAACAGCCCGGTGCGGGATCCAACCTGCAGCTTC